GGTGCGTTGGCCATCACCGTTGAGTGGCGTCAGTGGCCGTCGAGAGGGTTTTGAGGCGTTTCTAGGGTCGACGGCGAGATCCTTCTGTCCAGATGGCGGAATGGGAGCGACCGAAGAGAGGGAATGCTCCTGAATCCGGACAGGTTCGGTCAGAATATACTCAACGCAGCGAGATAGTAAAATTACCTTGGACTGAGGGAAAGGGGTGTTTACGTCGTCTTCAAATGCTTCCCGATGAATGAAGTCAAAGATTTCAACTTCAGAAGGTTCCTTCTTCGCGCTGGCCTGTTATCATATTTCGAATTTTGTTTAGAATACTGTTTTCGATGAACCTATCTCTGCCACCGGGGAAAACTTTGTAAGATCTGGTGCTGGATACGTATTGAACAACGCTTCTAATTCTGCGTCAATAGCGCTTTTCACTTGGGCATCCGGGGCGAAGGGAGAATAGTCTTGGTCGAAACGGCGTACTGAGTCACGAACGAGGTGAGAACCCGGGGAAGAGAGGCCCTCAGAATACTGTGAAGTACACATCGCGAGATTTGAATGAGATCAGACAATGGAATGATCTACCGGTGCGGTTGAACCAGACGGCGAAGAGGCTCCACCAGAGAAGTCCTGAGACGGGAGGTGAACTGTACACTGGATTCGCTGCAAGTTGCGGAGAACGACGAAATCTATGGAATGTCAAGATGATGATAATAGTACCTGATCCTGGGTGTACCGGAGGAGGGCCACTAGGTGCTAGTAGTGGTTCTCCGTTCAGATCACTTGGGAGCCTTCCAGCTATAACTTCATCTCAGCAATCTTCAATTCCAGGGCGACGGATACGTACGCACTTCAATATGTAAGTTGTTGCCCCGGCTCGGATGAGGGGGGTGAGGAACAGCTCAAGCCACGCGACCGGTGGGAGCGTATCCTTCTTCATGATGAGCCAGACCTTGCCGATGTATGTATACAGGCCCCCATCGACCTTCCCCGCGTTTTCAACCGAGCGAGCATCTATCCGCCGCATCAGATGCTTTAGTATTCTCACCGAGGCAGGCCTCAATTGCCTGGGCGCGTGTCAATCGCGACTACCTAAGAGGCCATCATATATTCACACACCTTTGCGAAACCTGGGGGTTTCCCTTTCAACTCGGAGGCAAGACTAAGGGTGAATTTGAATTGGAAAATGCCCTTTCCTAGCGCGTGGCAAACTTCCCGGGGCCCCGCATTTCCTGAAGGCAGATTATCCGAGTCCACTGTGATAGATCTCCAATCTGCCGGAGAAAGGGTGGGAAAGGCTGGAACCAGGAAATCCGGGCTTCTGATCGTGTTCAGAATCATTTGGGAAATCGCCTTGTTCATTTCGTCGACGGCGGGGAGCGGAAATGAATGGGAGGAGTCCCAGTGTTGTCATTGACCGGGTATATACCGGGTTGTCAAAGGGGTCAGGTCAATGGATTGACTATTGACCGATCGGTCAATGACCTCGGCCATTGATCACCGGTAAGCTCCGGGGCATTTTGATCGCGACAATTCTGCAGTCTTTTCCAACTCCACGACCCTCTGATCCATCCAGCCTTTCAATAGATGAATTCACCCATGTATTTCATGGCATTTTACAATATTGTGAAGTGGATGAAGGGATTGGATCATGATTAATGCACGGCCATGCGATACAATCAGGCGGCAGTCTCGTTAAACCCATCGGTCGGTGACGACACACCCTCTGCCTCTGCGGCCAACTCCTTCTCCTCCTCTTCCAGACCACTGATTCCGCCATTCCAGAAAAAATCCAGTTCATTGGCGGGTGTTCCTGCAGCTGGATACGAGAATAGATCTGCGAGTTTGATCTTCTTGTAGGCGGGAATGCGGAGCACAGGATTCGTCACGGATTCGGAGGCTGATGGAGGGGGTGGAGGAGTGCAAGTTGCAACGGGAGGAAGTAGCTCGGCTGCCGCGTCTTCCGCTTCTTCCTGCGTTGCCAGATCGACCAACATATCAGCGATCACCGTAAAATCCATCTCAACGACAGACGATTCAGGAGCTGGCGTGGGCGTGGCGGAATTGTTGGCGTCCATTGCAGCGATTTCATCCTGATCATCAGCTAGACTGAAACGGCGAGGTCGCCTTTGTGGAATAAGGCCAGCCGTGCGATGACTCTCTTGACAATCCATCCATACAGTAGTTGATTTGTGGACCTTGAGAGGGTCGAGACAGTTTCGGTGTTTTGTGTGAGTGATACCGTAGATGCTGAACACGCGTTCTGGTCCTGCGGAGTTCGGTACCATGCTGAGGATCCAGATTGCGAGCTTGACAAACCCGCTACAGCCGGCCAAACCTGTCCCAGAGTCCATGCGCCTCCAGATTGCTATTATATCAATCGGCTGGTTCTAATGTAGAGAGTTTAAGATAATCATAGAAAACAAAATGAAAAATAAACTTACAGCTTCTTTGTACATGGCTCGATACCCCTCAAGCCACATCGAGTTAGGCGAAAAGTAGCCATCGTTGTCGCAATATAACTGGAATGTTTGCATGAAATCAATGTCAGTGCTCGCGTCCTGGCCATAAAATCGCTTATATGCGCGGCAGAGAAGGTGATAAAATGCCATGGGTGGAAGCTGTGCCGAGTTGAAAGCACGCGAACAAATGTACGGATTCAAGAACACGGCTAAAATCATTAGCTCCTGGTCGGTCTTGCCCCACCGCCGCTCGAGGCTCCCTTGCACAGTCGTCTTGACAACCTCATCTTGGTTAGAGTCAAAAATGCGGAACAAATTTCCGAGGCAAAGAAGAACGGTATCGAGCCAACAGGTGGGCGCTTGGAGGAGGTTGGATGCAATTGCAAGAGGCTCAAGATTTGAAGCGATGCTGCGTGCTCGTTATCACAGAGTTTCTCATTCGATATAAATCAACTCACCGTCCTATGTTCTTCCAGAATCCATCGTCTTTCACAATCTCAATGATCCGTTCCGCGGCGTTGACCTGCTCCTCTTTGCGGCCTGCACAAACGCGTAATGTTTGCTCGTGAGTGATGACGCAAGCATGAATGGCACGTTCCAGTTTTTTCAATCGGCGGAGCGAGCAGTACTGCAAAACCCATCGTGTGATAATGGGAAGGATAAGGGCGAGGGATTCACCGAAAGTCATCATTTGTTGTGTACAGAGGAGATCCAGCGCCGTGCCGTGATGGTTGAACCACTTGATGACCTCAATTGCAAGCTTAGCCGCGCCCATCCACGACACCTTGATTGATAGAAAGTTTCCGGTGATGAGACTCGACTGATGTGCCCAGCATTCGAATGTAGCGAGGAAGGGCATCTCCTCCTTTGCAAGACGTCACATCTTTTTGCCATCTGGGCCGTCGTCCGTGCAAAGCGTGATTACCTCCACGTTGTACATTGACTTGGCATAGATCAAATCACTTTTGACAATTCCCCAGAGTTCGTCGCCGGTTTTCGGCCGCCCAGTCATATCGTGCGTGCGGAGGAGGTAGGGCTTTGGGATAGTGAGTATCGAAAGCCGAAGGTAAAAGGATTGAACACACCTTAGTCTCAACGCTCAGCATTGAAGTATCAACATGAGTTTTGGCGATATTGGTCCAGCTATCTTCTGAGTACGTCGCCAACTTCCCCTCGATCAACTGACGAGTACGAGCAATGACTTTATCTGCCTCCTTGTCTAGAATTCGACCTGATAGGACATGACGGTCTGGGAGTTTCGCAGCAGGAAGGTATTTGTCAAAGAAAAGTTTAAACTGGGGGTTCGCGACCGCTTTCCAAGACCAGCCGCATGCAACAAAGAGTCGACAAAGATCCTGGCCAAACTCTTCCTGTTGATCAGCACTCCAGGGAGGGGGTGCATGGGAAAATGAAGAGGTCGAGGTGCGACGGCGTTTCAAATTGGGGCTATCAAGGTGGGGTGAAGGCGGATAATCGTAGCCGGACAGAGAAGGCGAGTGAGGTAGTGGAGAGAATAGCAGTGAACCGGATGGTGGAGACATGGAGCCCGGAGGCGGCATCTGCATATGTGAGGATCCGGGGATAGCTTGATGTGGGAACTGATAGGATGGATTGGGGACTGCCGACCCTTGTGACTGGGAAGTGGCTTTGGCGCTAGCTATCCAACGAAGCAAATATTGTATCCCGTGTTTTGATACGAGCGGGGGATTGAGCGAGATTAGAACAGGCTGTCGCATGCCGGCGCATCTTGTCTGTCTTCCCAGACATGGGGTTCGGACACAACGGGTCTACAATTGCTGCCAGTGGAGGAGGTGTGAGTTATACAGCCTGTCGTTGGCGACATATAACATACCTATAGTATACCAAGCATCTTCTGTCTTTGCTAAAGGAGGAGGTGCTCCATTTGCGACAGCAGAAGTCTCCGCGTTGCGTAGTCTGGCAACGATAACATCTAGGCAAGATCGACACCATGTATTGACATGATGCTTGCCGGTCCCGTACTGGGTTTTGTTCGTCCAAAAAAGGGCCCAGAGGGGTGATTTTGGGGGCATATTCGTTACACAGGGTACAGGATTTGTGGCTGGAGCTTAGGAAGAGCCAAGAAAGAGTGTAGAAGTCTTAGGAAGAGACGCGTCGCGCGTCAAGGCTGGCGTGGGAACTATTTCTCAATCGGGCACGGACTGGTCAAATGACCGGTCATTGACCGGGTTTTTGCATTGCCGGGTCGATGTCATTGACTTTTATTGACCGTTATTGTCTGACCCCGACAACACTGGGCCCCGGAGGACAATTATTTGCATGTGATTCTGACGCCACTGCCACTGACACGTATGTTTCTTCCCACGGGCATTGAGTGATGGCCGAAAGATCTGCGGGCTGGACTAGGCTGGACTTCAAGGGTGGCGCAGGTCGGACTTGTGTTCCATCGAGTACAATTCATGCTCCCTCTGCCACTGCGTCTTTGTTATATTTATATTTATATTTCTAGTCTGTGCCCTAATAGTCGCGTGGAATGTACATATTATTGATCGGAAGTACTGTCTTGCTGTGTCCACTATAGGACAAGTGGTTAGACCATCCGCCCAAGTTCAACTGCCGAAAGCGGAAGGACGGGGGTTCGATTCCTCCCAGTGGCACTCGGGGCCGGTCGCGGGGACTGTCCTAGTTCAAGAGGTGAGTGTTCCGCGCAAACACCAGTAGTACCCTGCCTTGGTACAGTGGCTGCGTTTCCATGGGTATTTTTTCCGTCTAGAAGAAGACAACTTGTTCTTTCGCTCAAGATGTACAATTTCCTCACAAAACTCGTATTATATTTCCCTTCTTTTTACCGTGCTGGCCAATATCATAAAGGGAGTAGGTCACATTCTCCAACAACTTGCAAGACTTGAGATCTTGAGAACTTGGATTGAATATGGGTTGTAGCACACTCATTACATCAAATCATCCACGCCCTCACTCGACTCAGCAGACATATCCTGCACACTAAAATGAATAGTTTCGTCAAATTTGTTCAACCCACCTTTGGAGCGTAGATTAACACAATAAAGTGAACAAATTTAAACTTGACCAGTCAGGATTAAGATAGGACGCGTCCATATCCATCCAATTGTGATCGGGCGGCATCAACTTGCCAATTTCTTAGGAACAAAGTCGAGATTGGGATTCTATCCCAGTGATCTCCTCTAAATAGGCACTAGAGTAAGTCACCAAAGAGTTATCTAGTCTTCCAATTTTCTGTATAAATTCACAAGGATATTTATATCCGTACCTGAGACGATTTAGAAGTGACCACCAGTATAAAATATTTAATTTGGTCCCCGTTGTTGAGAAAACTTAACATCGGACTCCCGATCACTCTTGGGTGCTTATGGGTGCGGCCTATCTTACCGGCTGAAGATATAGCGGCACCCATGAGACAGAAGAACTACAGAGGTGAGCCATGAATTCATCATCGAGTTCCCACGGTTCATTTCATTACTCGAGTGTGATATTGGTGAAAAATGTCGTGATGAGAAATTGGCCTGGTCTTATAAAATCCTTCGTCGTGGTACATCATAGTAGCTGCATTTACTTCGAACTAAACAGCGCCCCTCTCGGCTTCCTCAACGACTCCGCAAATCCGAGGAACGTTTCGGCAAGACGGACCTAGAACAACGTAAGGCCTGAAATACAATTGAAGATAAAAGACAAACTGTGTCAAGCGCTTCGCTATAAGAAGAAGTTATCGTCGCTTCAGCCGGAACCAGCGGGTCGCGTGGTGCGCCATTTTGCACCTCCAAAGCAACCTGAGCCATACGTCTTAAAATCGCACTCTGCGCAGCGGAGCCAAAGGAAACAGAGTGGAATGAGAGTGGTTTTCTAGGAATGGTTGGGATTAATATTGGCGAGGTAAATGAAAAGGCTCCGCACCCCAGGGCGACAGCACTACGGCTGAGACTGCGGACTGTCTCGTCTGCAATACTGCATTCGCCATCTGACAAGAATATGACCACCGGTGTCCTAGCGCAGAAACACTTAAGCACACCGAAAGAAGAAAAATACAAAGGAATGAAATACCGCTCTGTGCTCCAGTGCTGGCGCATTACTGCTTCGGCATTTGTGATTGCAAGAGTAAAATTGGTACCACCACCAGTCTGGTACGCCAAGAGTTTAGTCAACAGCTGGTCGGGAGTGTTTGTAAAGTCATTCGCGATGCAGGTGGACACAGTGTGGTCGAACAGAACCACGCTATAAGCGTCTCTACGAACAGGAGCGGCCGCTCCCTGACCGCCGTTGCTGTTTAAGGCAGTGTTGCGCGACATCCAAAAACCGTGGAGGGCGGAGTAGACAGCGCCGAGCCTGTTGTTTGTGGAGCGTGAGATCAACGCAGTCCCTGGTGCATTGCGAAGGGGTCCACGATCAGTGCACCCCATAGAGCTAGATCTATGCGTATTGTCAAGAGGCTTTCTTGAGGAGGAGTTGTATGAAAGACTTACCGGTCGATCACGAATATTCTGGAGGCCCGCGAAAATGAGAATGACAGGACATACGCTGAGTATACTACGTACACATGGAATGCCTGCTGCATCACAGACGGATTCTTGCAGTTGAAAACGTGCCCGTCGTTAGAAAGATATCCCAATCCAGCCGCTTGCGTGGCGCGCGGGTGGAAAAGAGGCAATGTACAATATGAGGGGTGGGCCGCAGTGGTGGCGGTTCCTGCATGCTCCGTGTCTGCGAAGAGATCGGATCCATACCTTCGTATCAGATCCCTGAGAGGGTTTATTCACCTGGGCACATGGCGTCACTGAGGAACTATGAGAAACGGCCGGGCGTCAGACCATTTCCACGTACCATTTCCCGAAGTTGAGTTGATCGGGTCTGGAGTAAGGATCTGGTATTAAGCTTCAGGACGTCTGTACTATCACATTCATTGATCGATGTCATACCTTTGAACCCTAGAATAGGAATTTAAACCTTCCCGAACATGATGAATTTGACCGTCGACGTACCTGTGCGCCTCCAAAACAGGGAGTGTGTGATCCAGTCTTTCGCACGGTTGGGATTGGGCGTCATCCGAGTCTTGAGGTGTTGAACTTCGGGTCCATCGCAAGAAGCAGCATCGTCCGCACGACAGTAATCGACATGGACGTGTCTACCCATCTCTTGGCAGACGAGGTTGCACATCATCGGTGCTCCGTCATCGTCCGCCCCGAACTTACGGCCATTCAGCTCCAGGATAGTCCCATCGGGTCCGTCCACCGCCCATCGAGTTTTCGACATGGAACCGTGGTGAGTCTCATGCTCCTGTTGCGGGTGGCCTGTCCGATCATCAGCATCTTCTTGCACTTCGCAGAGCGTCAGTTGATTAAATTCATACCTCGAGGTAGCGTGCAATAGTATCCGCAACTTTCGCATCGCGTCTCACAGAAGTGGAACGGAGTCGGGTCTGTGCTATGATTATGGGGCCCAGAGTGTTGTTTTTCTCCAGGAGGAATGGGAAATACGCAGGGGAGGCGTTTTGCAACTGTTGAAGTGTTCAACCGATGCTTAGATATAATATTTTAATCAGGATTACCTTGTGAATACTAGGGATGTTTCGTCACTTCAGTTTTAATAATTCATGCTGGAACCTCCATACCTTGGTGTACTGGAATGTCTCATGCCGTCCAGTGAAGGTTGCTTCGATGGACTGGGGTGCAGTTTCAATTTCACACGTGCCGTCTGCTTGACACAGCGCAGCACAATTGTGAGTTTGGCTAGGCAGCATTGATGGGACATCGAGGATCAGATGTATCAGACACCTACCCGCAAAGATGAACCGCGTCTGTTTCCAGGCCGTGAAGATGATCGTCATTCGAACAAAGACGTTTGCAGAGTTCGCAAGGGACAGGACACGCAGAAGAATCACAGACATGTTGTGTATGAGGTTCGTCGCTGGAAAGGTATTCATTTAGCAAAATTAATAACATAAAATAAGAAACGAACCTCGCAATCGCACAGGTTTTGGGGCATGAATATGACTTGGTTCCTGGAACCTTCAGGTTCTTCAAATTGCACGGCTGAACGAACTGAGTAACAAATGGACCAAATAATAACCACACAAACCTCTCCGCATTTGTGCAAGCGCGCGGAACACATATGGTCATCCCCAACATGTCCAACGACCTGCAATGGATTAACGCGAGGCGCAGAGTCTAGACGGACAAAGTCGCACCTTCATGCAACTCCCTAGACAGCCTTGCTTGTCTTTCAGCCCGCACGGCTCGCCGCACAGGTGGATATCGATGGCGCATCTAATATGGGGTTAGAAATTTGGAAAGGGAAGAGGAGGAGGGCGTACATGTGGCGCGCAGCGTGACCGGCCCTTTGAACGTCTGAGCACAAGTTGATCTGGAAAAGATAATACAACGTACGGAAGCCCACACGTCTTTTCAGTGGCCGGGTGTTCGTCTCCGAAATCGCAAGGGTGAACACATTGATGGGATGTTCGACAGTCGTGCGGAATGCTCGAGTCATGGCGCCGGCTCAGGAGGCACTTGAGTTGGCAATGAGCGCACTGCGAGCCGCAGACCTCCACGTTAGCTCGCAGATCTACGATGGCGGTTTCGAATACTCTTCGGAGCATCTCTATGTTGGCGTGAATGGATTTGAACCTGGAAAGATTCGACGAGATCCATTCATAGACATGCTGGATTCGCATTTCAGCCAACCCATCGAGGTATGTCGAAAGTCTACCGGTCCATTCAACATTTGATGCATTTGCTCGACCAGCAAACTGGTCCCAAGAGTGTTGAAGAACGACCAGCATCTCTTCTCTCCGCGACGCAGGAGAGTCGGCAGAAGAAAGGAAGAACTGAGCCGGCGTGTCCGGTTTTTCAATGAGTTGATCGGTATCGAAGTTCTGTCGGAAAAAAATGAGTCGAGGGCGGGAGAGTGAAAGAGACATGCGGACTTTCAACGGCTCATTGTCTGGGTCTAACTCGAAGACCCCGAATGTGAGTGCATTGGTGAGACCTCCAAGTAACTTTTGTGCCCGATGAGCAACGAGCGTTTCTAGACAGAAGCGCTCAGTAATTGTTAACAAGGAATATTATGACTCACGGGACAATGAACCCCAATCATTCGCCTATTGCAAAAGACCTGAGTGAATTGTGGTAGAACGAAAATAGGATTGAACGACCTTTAATTTGGCCATGAGTGTTTTGAGCGTGTGCAGGAACTCGCCCGCTGTTCGATGGGTTACTTCCTGTTTATCCAGTAGTCGCTTTACCGCAGGAAACAATGTATAAAACTGTTTCGACTCGATGACCGGCCAAGGCACAATGTTCAGCTGCCCAGCATGAAGGCGGGAAATGAAGTTAGCATCCTGTTCATCTTCCACGATTTTCTGGAACAGACGGTAAGCAGGCAAGCAAAGAAATGTGTGTATTTCTTCACTTGGAACTTGGTCGAAAACCTGGGGTGATATCAGTGCATACCGATCTTTATTATGCTGTCCACTTACTCCCTGACGATCTCGTTCTTATCAGACTCGACCACATCCTGTCGGACGCCACTCAGTTGACTTCCACGACATTAGCGTTTCGATTGTACATGCCTTGATAATTATTGTGAGGGTAGATCGAAACAGAGTTGGATTGGCAGCGGGATCGAG